TTATTATCTCTACGATCCTCGAGTTCTCTAGAAAATCTTGCTCGTGAAGCGATTGACTCAAAGGGAATCTTGACTTTTATGTATTGTTATAAATTACTGTACAACTGACATTATTTGCAAAAACGATAGTGTTTTGTTTAGTGTGAATATGACGTTTCCAGGTGCATATGATTAGATTCAGTTTTTTATTCTAAGAACCCGTTTGACACTCGTTTTTCGAAAAAGCTCAGTTTTCGTCCAAAAAATCTGGTTTTGAACTTTTCAGAAACCGAATTTTTAATGTTTTAACCAAAAACATCTTTTAAAACAAATTTCTAAAAATACGTTTTTGAAGAGAATTGAATTGTCTACAAAATGGCGCATTTGTTTTTGAGTTTACTTGCTATGTACAAATTGTACATAGTTGTACAGTTTCCGACTTACTGTCCAGTTTTTGAGCTTTTATTTGTTACAACAACTTGATTCTTGCGTAGATCGATCAAATATACAAAGAACACAGGAAGTTGTGAAAATCAAAACTTTACCATCGTGTTAAGTGCCTCATATATGCTTAACAAAAAAGTACGTAACGCCGTGACGAAAAGCATAACGCTGTGGCGCTTATATTTTGTATTTTTCAGGCAAATCTAATAGCCCAGGTGAAACATTTTTTTACCATTAGTAAGCGCGTGAGTTGCTCTACAGGATTGGCTCAAGGAATGTTTCGTTTGGAGGACTACTTTCGCAGCAAATCAGACTTTTAGCAGCACTCTTAAAAAAGGTTTTTTTTTCGTAACTCCGTGACCCAACGCTAAAATCCTTTTCAAAACCCAATGCAAGCTTTTAGAATACAGCTTTAGGAAAAACGCTTTTGTTTGGATTTTATACCGCTGTATTTTATTTTCATTTGTCCTTCTAACTTGAAAAAAGTAGGTAATACTGACAGTGTGCTTGTTGAATCACTGCCATTTGATGAAATTCAAAAAAGAAACGACATTGTACTGTATTATTGTATGTGTATTATTCATTGTATGGTATTATACTGTTCTTGTACTTCGACATAAGAAAAGAAAAAATAATTTCTCCTTTAATATGAGCCATTCTCAGACATGATAGCGTTCTCTCTATTAGTAAGCGAGAACTGATATACAGAAACGTTAATGAGCTCATAAATCCATTTGATTTTAAAACTTACCATATCGTTATCTATTTTAGATCATTTTATCTGCGAAATGTCTAGTCAAGCACAACAAACGGATTCTGCGCATCTTGTTGCCCACACATGTGCAAAGGATAATCGCGATTTTCAAGAAGTTTATCAAGGTAATAAAAAATTCTCAAGTGTTGCTTATTTAAGTACTGATTTCAAAAAATGTGTAGATCCTTGTATTTGTATGAAATGTAAGATGCTGTGGTAATTCAAAGTTCGAGCACTTCGCTTTTCTTCGTCGTCTTTTTATACATGGTGGGATAGAACTCGTCGAGTTGATTAAGAAAAGGTAGTTTTTAATATTCTAAAATATGCTTTTGTGTGAAAAAAATTTCAGTTCGGCGGTGAACCAAATATCGAAAGGACGGTTTGAAAAAGACGTCAAACTTTATCTCGATGTTTTTGAACATCTAAAACTAGTTATTTCGGATTCAGAATGAAAAATTGCATCTATAAACGTTGGTGACACATCTTTAGAAAAACGTTTTTGTTTGGTTTTTATACCGTAGTATTTTATTCTCATTTGTCCTTCTAACTTGAAAAAAGCAGGTAGTACTGACAGTGTGCTTGTTGAATCACTGCCATTTGATGAAATTCAAAAAAGAAACGACATTGTACAATTATACTGTTCTTGTACTTCGACATAAGAAAAGAAAAAATAATTTCTCCTTTAAATATTCATGAGAAACAGTTATCAATATTTATGTAATGTTATAAGAGCTTGCAAAAAATTAACTTTATACTTTTCTTCTCTTGGTTTCTAAATATTATTGTGTTTGGTTTATCAAAGGTTATGCTTGGTTTTAGTATTCGAACATGAACACTCTTTTTCATATCGAGCAACAAAAGCACAGAATTGCACAGTATTGTTTCTTTTTTGAATTTCATCAAATGGCAGTGATCCAATCAGTACACTATCAGTACAACTCGCTTTTTTCAAGTTAGAAGGACAAAATGAGAATATAAAAATACGGCGATATGAAAACCAAAAAGAAACAAACGGCTGAAACGCGTAACTGTCGCCCTCAACTGCGGTGGATTAAGCGATATTTTTTCTCTCAAACCAGCCTTAAAAACACATTATTATTTACATTACTACTACTACATTAGACGCAAATTTTTGCACTGATTACGAATATCAACTTTAAAACGAACGAAACTCGAAAATTCAAATTTAAAATTTAGAAGTTCTTTATTTCAATTTTTTTACAACCTTTTTAGGTTTTTAAAAAATTTCAGAAAAGGTGAAAGTAAAAGTACATCATTAGATAAAGAATTAAATTTTTTATAAAATGCACTATTGATTTTGTCAAAACAAACTCAAAACATGCATTTAAAACACTAAACAAGTTTTTGCTGGCTTTTGCCGAATTCGAAATGATACTTTTTTTCGAGCAATTGTACGAAAATCAAAAACATTTCTTCCACTGTTCTTTTTTTGCTTAGCTTGATGGAGGGCACTCGCCTGCATAAAGCTCCGTGCAAATCGAATTTACAGAAGTCTTCTTACCAGTAGAAATATAACGATAAAACCCACCGCAAAGAAGGAAAAATATGATGTAATTCCGCCACGGAGCCATTTCGCTTGTTTATTTTCATTTAAGCATTTTTAGGTGAAAGTAAAGAGATGATTCGACAGCTCTCTTCATGCTCTACAACTTTTATACTAGACTTTTTTTCTCAATATGTGTCACTTTAGAGCATTTTTCAAGTTTGTAGAGCACTAAAGAGAAGGCTAAAACATGCAATTCCGTCACGCGCATTAAGCCGACAAGTTCTTATTAATATAGAAGATGATGTAAATAAGCGCTGTCCAAAATGGTGCAAAGGAATTATAGTCTCGGTATTTTCAGTTTTTCTCCACTTTCTTATAATTAATTGAGTAATTAACTTTTTTTATTTTGAAGGCCGATGATTAGTCTATATTATCGGATGAGTAAGATTTGAAAAATACTTCTTTATTATTATGCAAAGTTAAGACCCAAATAATTTCCTGTTTCCGGTCGATTCGCTTGAAATCAATATTTTCACGCAAAACAAATTCTGTCGCGTGGCATGAAAGGGAACACACGTGAGTTATATCAAAATGTTTATCGCCCACAAATAGTTTACCTGGTTCCAAATCACGAACGATACTCGAACCAGTAATCGTAATAGGGACAGATGAATTTGATATCGATTGTTCATGGTTAGATGAGATAACAAAAAAAGTTAAAGTTAATTATGACAAAAATATGAGCAATTCTTAAATGCCGTAAATGTACCTGATAACTGGTCACCAGTTACATAACTGTTCAACCTCTTCGGTAATTCGTTAAGAACGCTTCTCTCTTCCAACCGAAAATGAGATGAGAAAAATTTGCTCAATTAATTGTAAGGAAGAGAAAATAAACTAAAAATACTGAGACTATATTTCTTTTTGCGCCACCCGTTATTTCACTGGATATATTTGACTGAAACGATTTCTTTACGATCATCGCTCACTTGTTGTAGCTCTTCAAAAAGCCAAAAACGCGAGCTCACACTGTTTGATTTTGGAGGAGTCGTAGAAATTTTCATTTCTACAACTACAGCTTAAAAATGATGATTTTTAGCCACATCAACAAAAGAAAGCAGATTCTCCCTCAATTGTTAGTGATTATAAAGAATTTTAAATATAGTCAGTTGATAGAACTTTTAGAGAGTTACAGAACAGCACTATTCTTTGTTTTATCATGAGGACTCAAATTAACAAAAGTGTCTTTTGGATTACAAAGTAATAAGGATTGAAGTTTCACAGTATTTGCACTAATTTTTCATTTTTGAGGTCTACAAAATATGTTTCTTATGTTTTTGTAGAGCAGCAGCTAACGACGCATCTAATGAAAAAGTAATTAAGAGTCGGGAACATAAGACAAAGTCAAAAAACAAAATCCAGTTTCATTGGATTTGACGATGTCGTAAACGGTCGTATCAGTCAAATTACGCTGTCATAATGTGACGTGTACTATAGTATTACATCATATAGTGTACTATAGTATGGCGTCAGCCGTTAAGCCCGTCGTATTTTGTCGTATTTTAACGTAAACGACGTCGTTTACGCTGGACGTAATATGTTGGCCGAGTTTACGTAAAAATACGACGAAATACTATAGTATACGGTCGTGAATCTTTGACCTGGGTATTTCAATGGGTAAGAGTCGCTACAAAAAGCAGTGCATATTGAGCGCTGATACCAATGGCATAAAAAGATCAGCTTCATCTCTAAACTAAAAAGCCTAGATAGGTTTACAGATTAGGGTCGTTTTAGAGGTCCAATTCTCGCTCAAAAATTCGATCGAAAATGTTTTTTCTAAAGATGCCTTACCAACGTTTGTAAATTCAGCATTGTATTCTGCATCCGAAAAAATTAGTTTTAAAAGTTCAAAAACATTGAGATAAAGTTTGACATGTTTTTCATATCGCTATTTTAGTTTTTGGTCTATATCTGAATTTGGAATTTTTTTCGCACAAAAGTATTTTTTAAAATATTAAACTACCTTTTCTTAATCAACTTGACGAGTTCTATCCAACCATGTGTAAAAAGACGACGAAGAAAAACGAAGTGTCCGAACTTTGAATTATCGCGACATCTTATTACAACATACAATGCTGATTTTCGATTTTGATAGCTGTGTTGATTCATCCCGAATGGCTAACACTCATTCCCAAAGATCATACTTGGTCGATTTTACACCAAATTGTGCGATACGGAAATGTAAATCAACTAAATTGTTTATTATCATTGCAAGAAAACAATTATAAGTTTTATCTTCTAACACCAACAAGACCAATGGCTTGTGAATATGGAATTGGAAAGACAGTTTTGGACATTGCATCATTGAAGGATAAAACAACTCCAATGTATGAAAGAATAAACAGTTTAATTAAAATGGATGAAATGTTAAATTTTGCAAAAGATGCAAATTGGATAAAATGTGAAGAAGTAATTCAAGAGAGGCCAAAAATATTAAATGAAAAACCTCCGTATAGAAAATTTTATTTACTTCATCATTTGGCTTACAGTGGAGCATTTCAAGAATTTGAACATCTACATGAAAAATATCACTTTAATTTAAATTTAGTTGTAGGTAATAATGAGACGGTAGCAGATATTGCCATTCGATATGACACACAAAGAATTTGGTGAATATCTGGATAGTTTACTCATAGCAACAATACTATCATCACGTTTGGCAAGAAACATATCTGTTTGTCGATCAAATTCAACAACAGATGTGACAGTTGTACGTAATTTAGCTGGTGATGTATTATTAAATACAAACGACAATTCTTTAACAACCTTCAGTGTCGAGAATAATAGTTCGTCAAATAAAAATGCTATTTCATATGATTATATAAGACAAATGACCGATAGAGATTTATTAAATGCAATCACAGATCCAATAACAAAACAAATTTTACGAAATCCCGGTACGATCGTTCAAGAGCTTTGTGTATCCTAAAAAGTTCTATCTATTTTTCTCGCACAGTTTTAGCATCCGATGGTTATACATATGAACGTGAGAGTATTATGGAATGGTTTAGACTGTGCAAAAATTCTCCGGTAACAAATGTTGAATTTATTAATTTTGATTTAAAGCCAAATAATGTAATACTTAGAATGTTAAAAGTAATTCAATCACGATCGGATGAAATTCAAAAGTAAACATCGTTTATTGGTTATAAGTGATTCTTATTTCTCTTTCCAGTGTATCTGCTGCAAATGAAGCACGAAATTTTGTGACGCAACTACCAATATCCTATACCGTAGAAGAGGGTGACACATTACACAATATTGCTATTTCAAATAATTTTACATTGGATGAAATGAAAGCAGCAAATCCTGATATTGAAAATTACAATTTCCTACGTATAGGACAAAAAATAAAACTTCCAGGTATGGAACGACGTCTTTAATTTATTAACTATTTTTTAATGAAAAAAGTTATCCTCTAATCTAAAAGATTTTATTCCACTCTTCTTTAAAGAGTACGTCTTTTCAACGATAAAAATTGAGCAACAAGAAAACGTCCTTTTGACTTCAAGTCATTGTGCAAAAAAACTTAAAAATAAAACATTGAGACAAAATTATTTTGTAATTACACGGATAAATAATTTATACACATCTTTAGTTTCTCTAAAAGTAGGATAGAAATTTCTCCGATACTTTGGCTAGTTTTTAAGCATCGTTCCTATCAAATTAAAACCTTTTCATGTCCAGTTGTTTATATTTATATTCGCGACAAAAGGCTAATAAAGCCGAAATGACTTGACGTATTGACATGAATCATATACCAAATTAAAGCCGATGACATTTCACACAATGCGGTGTGAAATATCAAATTGGAAATAGTTAGCCGATTATCAGTTACCTTCAAAACTCCTCATCCCCTCACAGAAAAGAAACTAGGAACCAATTGTCCTGCGAAAAGATTGGAAAGTCGACTGAGTGAAACGGAAACAGACAAAATTAGAAGATCCAGAAACTCATAACAGTTTGACAAGCAAGCAGAATGTACACTGCTATATCAGTTGGTTCATTATCGTGCCATATATTCTACTTTAATATAGCTTGAATCATATCCACCACCATAGCACATGTTCCCTTTGAGGTGAATCACGTGACGATTAAGGGTAACCTCTTCTTTTTTGAAAAAATTTCAGTTTTTTAGCTCAGCATAGCCGAATGTAGAGGAAAGTGTGGGCTACAAAATGAGATCACTGCCAGCACTCTACGACCTTTCTTCTAAAAGTTATGCAGTTTTAAAGTTTTTCAACGCCTAAAAAAATTTAATGTTTTAATTTTATAAGCTTTTCTGTACATTCAAAATGCTTTTTACACATAATCTGACAGCACAAAGTGTTTTCTGCACAATGAGAGGTTTCCAGAATTTTCCAATGAGTTTTCGTGGGGATATAAACATCGTGGCATATGCCCTGAAAAAAGGAGCTATTTTTTTGCTACCGGGCTTCATTGTATCACATTACGACCCTCCTTAAATTTCGTCCGATCGAGTTAACAATTTTACCAGGAGTAATCAAGGTCATAGCACAGGGGTATAATTTTCAAAGTTTACTTTAGACCTTTCTTTACCGACTTATAGGGTTTCTAAAATTTAAAAACTTGATTTTTGAAAGTTTTCGGTATTTTTCCTATAACTCGGTAAAGAAAGGTCTAAAATAAACTTCCAAAATTATTCCTCTGCGCTATGACCCTGATTACCTCTGGTAAAATTGTTAACTCGATAGGATGAAATTTAAGGGGAGTCGTAATGCTGTTCAGTGAAAAATAGAGTTTTCTGGAAAACTGATGAACGACAATAGTTAAAAACATAAAACAAAACGTGCTCCATTGAGTTTCCAATCAGTTTTGAATATATGAAGCCTTAGAGAGTTTTAGTTTTTATTTCATAGCATTTCTACGGAAAGCCCAAAATGAGGGGAGGGGTACCCTTAATTATCTCATACAAAAAACGATAGAGTTCTAAAAAAATTTCATTATTTTGTGACACTAACTGTAGGATAACTAAAGAAAATATCTAAAAACAAACTTGAGAGGTGTCTTCTGCGATCCACTTTCCTCCAGCTCTCATATGATCTTTTCATCAAATCTCTGTGAACAAAGTTGACCAAGAACGAGTGGCTTACTTGAACGCAAAAAAAAGAGTTTAGAAAGAAAGAGCATGTTTGTTAGGCAACGCTCGGACTGAAAAGCAATAATTCTCCTCAGTTTCACTCAGTCGACTTAACAAAACTATCGAGCTTCTTATCCATTCCTGATGCGTGCGATTCCATATGATGGATCAGCCCATTTCACAATAGAACTTGAGAAATAAGGATATGGCCAGTTTCAAATGTGGCTAAATGACTAAAATCAAATGTGAGAATTGTAATATTTACCTCTTTGTAAATAAAACTCAACATTTCCAAAATTGTCATGTAAAAAGTCCATAAATGATTTAATTTTCTAACCCTTTTTATTTCATTAATTGATCTGTGTGTATTTTTCGCCTAACATATTGCATAACAAAATATGAATTCACTAAATATTAAAAATTTAGCAGAATTCATTATTCTGTGAGACATTTAAAAATAAGAAAGAGAACTTTCATGCCGATAACGGTTTCGTATGGGCACGACAGAGTTAAAATAGATTTACATTTGAAAAATTAGTTCATTTTATTAAATTATTCTCCAATGACAGTTTTAGAAGAGCTCTGACCATTTGTTTAAAAATAATATAATATTCAAATACATTTTCAGTTATTTTTTTCTTTTAGTTGTTCAAAAGTTAATTAGTGCAAATGTTAGAACTTTTCCACTCTCACATGATACACATTCGGATAATCATGATCATCATCATTTAACAACAGCATCAACAGATGATCAGAGATTTATACCAAAAACTGTGAACGAAAAAGTCTTGTCCGATATGAAACAATCACTTCTTGAAATATTTTATATATATGATGAAAATCATGATGGGCAGCTGTGTTTCGATGAATTTAAATCATTTATTTATAATTTAGGTTTAAAAACATTAAATGAAAGACAAATAAATGAAATATTTTTAGTAATTAATAATGGTACAGCGACGATAACATTTCAAAATTTTTACAAATATTTTAACAATTTAGTTCAACAAAATGATCAAGTAACTCATAGTCAAATTGAATTAGATTTGTTTCAAGCATTTTTAGAAGCTGATGTTAAAGATGCATGTGGTATGAATGGAATTACAACATTTATTAATGAAAGATGGAAAAATTTAAATAATTTTATACGTAGAGGAAAAGATGGAAGATTGGTTATGATTGGTGGTGATCAACCAGCAATAGATGTTTTGCCTGATGGCTATACATTTCTTGATTTACTATTATTAGTACCAAATTTCTCAAATGAGATAATACCAAGATATAAGAGCATTTTAAATGTACGATGGATATCAAACACAGATAGAAAATCTCCAAAAAAGTCGGGTGAATTAATATTTCCAAATGATTTTGATGGAAAATTGCCGGTGGAAACTGCAACACATTTAACTCTAAAATATTATCAGTGCTGTTTTGCAAATGAAAGTGCTCGAAGAGTGTCATTATTGAACCGTCATGCTATACAAACTTTTAGATATGAGCCTAATTATCAGTCAGATTATGTTAGTAATCGAGCTGGATTAGAAAGACATGGTTTTCTAGTATAACAATGCTGTCTGATGCCAAAACTGATCATGTTTTACTGGTTAAAGAAGGTTGTAATAATGAAAAAATACCATTTGAATTCCATTTTTGATCGTAGTGTTCTATTTTGATTTAGAAATAATCTTTGTTTATTATTAAACTAATCGCATCTTTTTCTTTATTTTACTAACAGAATAAAGTCTAATATGTTTTGTTGAAAAAATTATTAAAAAATGTTCATGTAGACATTTCAAAATCTTTGAAAAAATCGTGAAAGAGGGTGAGACATTGTACAATATTGCTATTTCAAATAATTTTACATTGAATGAAATGAAATCAGCAAATCCCAATATTGAAAATTATAATTTCCTACGTAAAATATTTTGTTTTATATTATTAAATTAACTACTGTCCGTTCCAAAATACATGGCAGGCGGTTGCTTTTTAAGTAACCCTCGATAGAAGATAGACAGAGACTAATGGTTTTTATTATTCGATAGCCAAGACCTGTATGCATCTTTCCACAAGCAAAAATGACTTTTGAAAAAGATTCAAAGACCGAATTTTGAGCAGATCTTTGGAAAATCAATTTGGATCTCTGAGAACTGACATAGAAATAGGTCGATCTTTCTTCCTATATAGATAGTCCAAAGTGTCCTCTGTAAAATGAGAACTATCAGTTGTTGTTTGCCTTTATTGCCTTTCTTATTGTCACTTCCCTCTCTTTCTCCACGTAGCATACTTATATTGTCTACCTAATTGATACTGTAATAGTACTGAAGTGAGTACGTTGTACTCTTTGTAGTCTTTGCCATTTGCAACGTTGTGCTTTTTGTAGTCTTTTTAAATAAATTGATTTAAATCGAAATGGAAACTAAGCAAACCCTTAATGTTTTCCGGTTCAGACGTGGCATAGGATTTCCTGAGAGTCCCAGAATCAATATTTCTTTAGATGTGACAATTCCGAAAATAAATGGAAACATTGGTAATCGATCACGCTGAGTCTCGTGGAAATATTTGTTTTTCGAAACACCTGCAAAAATCTAGTAAAAACCTATATTAGGTGAAATAACCCAATTTTTGCCTGAGTCTATAGACTAATGTTAAAAAGAAAAATATTAAGCGACTAATAGTAAAAATCGATTAAATATTTTCCCCCTTATTTAAATATTGGTTCGTTCAATATTTTTCCTTTATTTTAAATAACTAAATATTTTTCTATCCCGTTTTACCTCATTTTGAATGAAGGAACTGATGTCGCTAATATTTTATTTATGTAGAACTCATCTTTCAGAAAAAGCACGCGGATTTTGTATCATTTACACGGTAATTTTACGTGAGTGAAAGGACCAAATTTGCCGCTGTGATTTCCTTGCTTTTTCTCAATCAGATCGGGCCAATCTGGAAATGATCAGAGCTTTTAACTGACTCAGTTTTGCAGAGGAAACATTTTCATTCATAATAAGACGTGGTGGGACTCTTTATTTGGCTTCTGCCGAAATCACTTCTAGATGAAATGCCGTAAATCAGTATTAACTGATCTCAGTAGTGGTCGCGGGGTGTCTAGTAAACATCTTTCACCCCAATACTGATAGATATGAAAAAGTATATTTCGACCTCTTTATTCAGAGAGATATTTGCTCTCCAAAGTCCCATTATTTAAAAATTTCTAGAACATATTTCGTGATATGGAAATGACACACTTTCAGGATCTTCATTAATTTGTCTGATGGTCCTTGGAAAACCAGGTTTTCTAGAGAATCATTGTTTTCCAAACTTTTTTCTAAAACTATTTGACCATGAGGGAAAGGTTTTAAAGGTGATTTTCGAATTTAGTTCGGTCTCCTCTATCCAACCATGTGTAAATATTGAGAAAATAAGGTAGTGCCGTAACTTTGAATTAGCGGCGCCTTACAAAATATCAATTTCAATACATGCAAGGGAAATTTTTCCCACCATAAAAGCTCTTTGAGTTGAAAAATACAAAAAAAAATTGAAATTGAACGAAAGAGATATTTGATAGGACCAATATCTAATATTTAGTCGAAAATTTTTTTTTATTTCAGATGTATAGTATAAAATACTTAATTAATGCTAAGAGTATGAGATATTCATACTCGCGCGTTACAAGATCAGAGTAAAGTAAAATATTTGTAAACAGTTAAAGAAGTCATTTGTCGTATTACTTTGTTTGTTACTATTATTATTTTTATTACTCGGCAAAATTGCTAATAGAATAAACGACAGTCGCATAAATTAAGGCGATTAATCCAATAATAACAAAGAACTTTGCATCGAATGATTTTAAAGAATTTTGGTTTTTCAGTCCGAAGGAAAAAATAAAATTTTGCAACTATAAGTTCGAAAACAATCGTTAATTGATTTATGGTAAGGACTTTATAAATGTCACATATATCTAAAATCGCCTAGTAATTTTCGCCTGTAGACCATACTTTGTTTTCATTGTAATCCGCAATATCGGTACTATTTTCTGTCCTGGAACAATTTCAAAATGTAGACGTTGGACTAACATGGCCAATATGACTTTCGCTTCTAACATGGCAAAATTTTGTCCGATGCAGTTCCGATTTCCTGCTGAGAAGGGTAAATAGCAAAACGGATGAGAGAGTTTTGGCTTCACACCGTCCACATTTCTCATCCATCGTTTATAGTCGAATGACAGGGGATCGCGCCAGTATTGTGCTGAGCGATGAAGAGCATAAGTGTTCAAGAGCACTGTTGCTCCCACTGGAAGACGAATCTGATTTTCTCCAGATCCTATGGAGTGCTCATAAATGCACTGACGAACAATGAAAGGTGCTGGTGGATAAAGCCGCAGTGTCTCTTGCAAAACAGCTTCGATAATATGAAGCTCGTTCAACTGTGCATTATTTAGCGGTTGATCTTTCAAAACTCGGTCAACTTCATCGCAACAGTCTTGATAAACGTCTGAATGAGTCATGAGAATATACATGCACCAAACCATCAGATTTCCCGTTGTCTCGTGACCAGCTAAGACAAATGCCATTGCTTCGTCTTTAATCTCTTGCTCATTAAATCCTTTTCCGTCCTGATCTCGAGCGGTTAATAGTAAATCTAACAAATCATTTCCATTACACAAACTCTGATTTGTGCCCATTCTTCGCTCATTCACCATTTGTTGAACAATTTCCGCTATTCGTTTTGAGCCTTGATCAATCACTTGCTTTTTAAATAACGGTAGTTTATTCAGAAATGGCATTTGATTAATCGGCACGTCAGCCGATCGATAGTATATAGCATCGAGAACACTAACTGCAGAATTCAAAATTACATCTTTTGCTTTGGCATTTGTTTCAAATGCTTGACCGAACGCCGAAGATGCTATTATTGACAGAGTGAGAGAGTTAAGTTCTTTTTGGAGATCAACAGTGTTTGCTGTTTTGCCCCATTTATCGACAGCTAACGCTGTCTGCTTAATCATAATCGATACCATCGATTGTAAATTGATGAAATGAAAAGCGGGATTCAACATTTTTCGCGCGCGATCGTGAGCGTCACCTTCAATGACAAGCAGATTGTGTTCACCCATTATTGACATGAATACGGTACGAAATAGAGGAGGTTTTACGTAGAATTTTGTGTATTTTTTGAGAACATCAGCTATTAGATTCGGTTGAATAATTACGAGACGTATGACAGGACCAAATGAGACGAGATAAACACTGCCGTATTTCGATTGCAAATCAACGTGATACTCCATGCTCTTATCAGCTTTAGAATATTCACGCATTTTAGGTAATTGGCCAATGATAGGAACGAATGGTTCGCCTGGTATATTTTGAGATTTTAAGATATTGTAAACTTGCTTTTCTTTGTGAATCAGACTGAAGTAAACGACAAGGCCGAGTATCACAAGAGCAATAATAATGGCGTAGACGAATATTGTTAACATAATTAGGTTTAGATTGAACCCTTTTTATGTTTTGATAAAAGTAGGATGGAATTTTGCGTCGTCATAGACACATGCTTTTTAACATGATAGAAACATGCATTTTTTCTTATAATACAAAATGAGAAGAACAATAGAGCTTTGAAAAATAGTCGAACTGCGAGAAATAGAGAGTTTCTTTTCTTTTCTTTTTTCGTTCTATTTGACATATGCACATATAGAACAGAAAAAACAAAAAGAATACCATTCTTAGTCTATTAACCAAAAACTTAGTTATTCCTTTTCTTTCTTTCCTTTTCTGTTGACTATTATCGACCTATTATCGTCGATAATAGTCAACAGAACTGCGACAAATAACGGTTTCTTTTTTTGTATTTTGTTTTCTTATTAACGTCAAAACATGTGTTATCGCCTATGTTTTTATACTTCTGTAGACTATATATGTGAGTATCTTGCGACGTTCACGTCATAATATATTTCTTCGTTATAGTTTACATGCTGACCTGTGATCGAATGAAAGAGAAAACAAAAACGACAATGAAAGCATATTTTAACCAGCGTACACACTATATAACGTGAATTAGAACACAAAATAGAAAAGAAAAAAGAAAAGACGAAAAGCAAATCGCTATATGTCGCCGTTCTAATGAAATATCATGCATGTATTTGTATTGTTTCATACTTTTCTCTATCTTAACTGATAACATACATGTGAACAAACATTTTTATTATTCATCATAGCAAATAAGTGTAATCTACCACAAAAAAATAGAAGTTCTTGAATTTTATCGTACGATGTTAACCCTATAAACATATGCGTGACTACTGCTGCTAAACGTACTGATTCTTATATTGACTACATTATCGTCACGGACGTCACAATACAATTTAACAATCACCCACAGTTATCTGTTCAGACAATGTTCATTAGCAAACCTCACGACGGCGAAAAATCGCTTCGAAAACGCCTGCAAGTTCCAGTAGGAGTAACAGACGGCAATATCCGATCTCAAATGCCAGCTCAACATCAACTATTCTTTACCAATCTTTCATATTTTATCCTCTCGTCGTTGGATGAGCAGGGTAGACCTTGGGCTACAATCGTCACTGGCAAACCTGGCTTTTGTCATGTTTTATCCCGCAACCATCTTGCTATCCACACAACACCCATCCCGTCTGATCCATTGATTCACAACATGCAGTCTGGAGAAAAAATCAATGGTACACGAATGGTCGCCGGTCTCGGTATTGATTTTTCCAATCGTCGACGGAACAAGGTGCTTGGACGTGTATCAAATCAATGTTTTGAATGTAATGAAGAAAAAGATGATGTGCTAAATATTCTCATCGATACAGAGGAATCTGTAGGCAACTGTCCAAAATACATTACCATTCGCGAATTAACCCATCACGTCGCATCACCCGTCTCCACTTCCAAACTAGACTCTGGCATTCTTCCTGAAGACTGTTTATCGACCATATGGGGTGCATCAACAGTCTTCATCGCAACAAAGCACACCAGCTCAACCAGCTCTCACATGGGTGTCAATCACCGCGGCGGCCCACCTGGCTTTCTGCGAGTTTCGTTAGATCGCTCTACCGTATACCTTCCAGATTATTCCGGCAACAGATTCTACCAATCCCTCGGCAACATTGAAACAGATCCAGTAGCTGGACTTTGCATTGTCGACTTTGGCACAGGAAATGTTCTTTGGCTGACAGGTACCGCAAAGAATCTCTTTTCGGAAGAAGCACAAGCAGTCCTGTCCGCCTCGTATAATATAATCACAGAGATTAAAGTAACCGGCTGGGTATATGTAAAAGATGGCCTAACACTAAGATCAAAAGACATCGAATACTCACCTTACAACCCTGCCCTCGCCTATCTCGCGCACGAATTATCCGCTCGAAAAATTCAGCAAACGCCATCCATTATTGCAACCCTCTCATCCATCAAGAAAATTACTCCAACAATCTCGACATTTAGATTTACGACTTCCGGATCGATAAGTATTAAAAACGGGCAATTTGCCATTCTAGATTTTTCACAAGAATTTACTACGAAATATCAACATATGAATGATGCATCACCAAAATCACTCAATGACGATTACACCCGTTCGTGGACTATTTCTTCCTCATCTTCTGGAAAGAGTTTTGATATCACTGTTCGTAAAATTGATGGAGGAAAAGTGAGTGAATATTTACATACTTGCTCTAGTCTTCGGGTGCCATTAAAGGGTATCGGTGGTGATTTCATATATAAAGGTAATGATTCATTGTTTATCGCCGGAGGGATTGGAATTACTCCTGTCGTGGCTATGCAAAAAGATTTTGACAATCAGAAGAAGAATCATCTGTTATTTTCACTCCGAGAGGGAGATGAGGGATTGTTAGACTGCATTGACAAGGATAAATTTGCCAGCGTAAAAATATTTATATCCAGAAAAAATCAAGGACGCCTATTAAAAGAAGATGTGGAGAAGATACTTCAAGAAAATAAAAACTTAGATGTCTATGTGTGTGGTCCAGCGACATTTATGAAAGTAGTTCTGACATGGTTGCAAGAAATTGGTTTTTCTCAAAACGTCTATACCGAGGAGTTTACTTATTAATCAAATCGATCATTTGTTGTTGTTTTACTCCATAATTTACTTGTTAACTGTTTTTTCTGGTCTTTTTGAATTAAATATCTTGCTGATCAATATCTACGCGTCATTTCTTTCTTTAATACTTTGCTTCGTGATATGTTTTTGGTTCTTACTGTTTTATGTATGCAGATGTTTTATGTAATAAAGACACGACTGATCATCTTGTATGACTGATCCTTCGAGGTCAACAACCAGATTCAATTCAAGTCTATCAGCCTAGACTGTGTAAGACCTAACAAAATCTGAAAAAAAGTCTCGATTTAATTACAGAGATAAGTAAAAAAATCCTTGTACCAAACGTGTGTGAAACCAATAACTACCCGCATCTTAACAATGTTTTTACGAGTGTAACAAGTTCTTTTTGATGTATGTACATATAAAACAGAAAAAAAAAGGAAAGGAATATCATTCTTAGTCTATTAACCCAAAACTTACATTAGTCATTTCTTTTCTTTTCTTTCTTTCCTTCTCTAAAAATATGCAACTGAGTATAGAAACATTCAACGAACATTGACAAATTTTGAAATTGGGCTGCTCTCCCTATGCCATAATACAAAATCCTGGTTCAATCAGCTACGATGCCAAGGTTTTTGTTGTATATTTCGTTAACTTTGCTAATAAACAACATAGAGTGCAAAAACCCAAAAAGTCTCAAGGAAGGTTTTCCAAAAAAACCTTAGAAATAAAACATGAGTTTTCTGTTTTTCTTTATCTCAAACTCAAAACTCACTGGCGAATATCACATCTAACGGAAAGATATAGATTAGATTAAAACATTCAACTATAACTTAAAATATGGGATTTCAAACTTTTCCTAAGAGCCAGAAAAAGAGCAGGAGAAAGACGCTTGTTTCTCACAGAAGCGTGCTCAATGACTATTTCAGATTTTTTCTAAGTAGCCTCATCTTGTAAAGCATGATCGAAAACCAATAAATCTAAATTTGTAGGCGTCCAGAACTTTTCATTCTGTAGATATGGAATTTTTTCGACTGGAGTGAAGTTCGAGAAGATATACGCGTGAAAAACGTACATTTCGTTTTTCTCGTGAACGAGAAGAGATGAAACCGCGATTTTTTCAAGATAGGTAGTACTTGGTGTCTAGCATATAATGACATACAAATATTACATATACCTCTTATCCCATACATTACAGCAAGACCGAAACGGAGCTTCATGTAGCACTTTTGTGAGCGATCGATCTCGTTATAATAAACTTACGTTGAAGTCGGACTACTTGTAGTAGATAGTACTCTCACTGTACTCTCTGGAATCACCGTCAAAAGTTTGGGATAAGCACATTTGTTACAGAAAGTTTTGCGACTAAAGTCGAAGTAAACGGTCGGCATAAGCATTCACTTTTCTATCTTAATGAAAAACTATATATCTTACAACAGAATATCATTGGATAGCCCATGAAATTCTACAAACTGAGCTGGTCAAAAAATTCAGACAGGTGGAGCCGGCTATTAAAGCTATGCAAAAGAAGCGTTTGAGCCCTGTATATTCAATTTAGTCGCACGAAATGCTCAATTTCGGTTTTATCACACATTTTATGATAGTGTCTTTATGGGTAATCCGCTGGCGCTGATTTAAGCGCATTTATTTATGGAAAATTAGAAACTGATCACATACTATATATAGTATGTCATTGTCTGCAGAACTATAGTTCCGCAGAATGATCAGTTGATAAAAGCTTGAATTCGCTATGTGGATGATATTCTAATTATAGCGATAGGAAGTATACATATAGTACTCTAAACCTCAAAATACTCTCGTCAGGTCAAAAACATTTTTTTTCGACTTTTTTTGAAATTGATTTTGCGAAAAAAAATGAATTAAAAAGAATTAAAAGTATTTTTACTCAGCTAAAAGTTAGAGAAATTTACTTATTTATAACTTACTTATTCCCCCCTAAAATCAGTTAACGTATGTGAGTTTATTAACATTTAGATCTGTTAAATGCGTTAGAAATAGCTAACGCGTGCGAAGGAAATTTTTGATATCAAAAAAGTTCATCGGGATCATGAGCAAAAAAGATTATTACAATAAACTGTTCGATATGTTAGATGATCTAAAAACTGCAAAAAGGCATCTGCTTTATATTCTGTTCTAGGTGTCCGTTTTCTCCAAATCTTTACAAAATTAAGTCTTTCTTACATTTCAGATAATTTTACCAAACAGCAGCGTCTCTGCTGACGAATGCCTACGTACATATTTTTATTTTTAAATGTTAGCGCAATATTTCGAATCTGTAGAGCAGCATTCAATTTACACAAGGCTCCAGAGTAGCAAAACTAACTATATTATTTCAACTACAGAGTTTTTAATAAAATGAAACATGTCTTGAAATCATTTGCCTCCTTTCTTCGTTCTACGTAATTTCAATATTTGGCCTGCTGTTATCAGTCAAAGACTGACCCATGACAATTTTTGTCTAACTTTTGAATGGTGGCTAACTAGACAACCGCTACCAGGCTTCGTTAAGTTTCCTATTAACACATGTTGTTCACACATGCAGTTCTGAAAATATGAAGCCTTAGCGAGTTTTAGTTTTTATTTCACTGCATTTCTGCGGAAAACCCAAAATGAGGGAAGGGGTACCCTTAATAATCGAAGTAAGAATAATATTTCGGTAAATGTATTGTCACTCCAGGAAGTGTCAACAGAGAGTTTTCGGAAAAAAGTCTCTTTCTCTCTTTTCTATTTGCTTAAATCAATCTTTTACGGCGATTTGATTAAAACCGATATAAACATGAGACTCCCATTTTTGTTTGGTTATGATAGTGATAAAGTATGGATGGTATCCAGATGATAATATCTTATGATGTTGACTCAGTACAAATAATAATATTGCATAATGTTTCAGTTATTATTATAATAAAAATAATAGCCTTACAACTGCTTTTAGAGAACTTTAAGCTGCATTTTCTCTTCTAATTAAGCAAAAAGTGATGTGATAACGTTATGTGATGTAATAACGGGTACGGCAGATTAAATTATCGGTTTTTGATAGGCTTTTTTCTCAAATTAGACTCAACCAGAAGGTTTGGTTCTGATGCTAAAAGATAGAGAATTTTGTGTAGATTTTATTGATATGTTCTTTTTTAAATAAGCATGTACCGTTCTTTTGTAGCATTAAAAGTATTGGATAGTACAAAAACATCATTTGCTCAGCACCTGACTAGAATAAAATGTCATTTTTATTTGCTAAATAATTTTCTATACGCTATTCAGACACACTATGAAAAAGTACAGAAACGTATTTGTTTTTGAGACACAAAACCAAATT